CTGAACCCTAGGTCAGGCCCAAAGCAGTATTGAAACATGAGAAGTCAGCATTTAGTATCCCAGAAGAGAGAAACTGAAAGTAACGGTTTGGGGGTTAGGGGGGGCTTAACAGGTGGGACTGAGGAAGAAACAGGAAGTAATATTTGCTTAACACAGAAAGGAACAAACACATCGTGATCAGGACATTCTAGGATAGGGCTTGGTAAGCACCCAGGTTGTTAATATAAATTGATTTATAGCTTCATTTTGTTTCTGAAGAAACCAATTGAAAACTAATTCACTGTTCACAATTGTAATCCCTATAACCAATAGTCTGAGGCAGGAGGATTTGGGGTTTGGGTGCCTGGGCTAAATATCGATCTCTGTCCCTAAAGAGTAAGAAGAGAGGAGCAGGAACTAACTTAGTTAACGTTAACCTGCAGTCGGTGTGTGCAGTGTAGGACACTTCACAGACCAGAGAGTTAATGTTGAAAAGTAAGTCAGTTTCATACTCTGTCTTCTTTTTAACATTCTAGCATTAGTGGGGGAGGGTCACACAAGCCCCCCCCCCCTTTCAGCTGAGGAGCTGCAGACAGGTGATGACTGCCAGGAAATGGAAAGTCGGTTTTCTTCAGGAGTGCGTCCTTGGTGTGTCGACTATCCAGAGAAATGTTCTACTCCCATGTGTTCATGGGCAGCACTGACTGGACTCAGTGGGTTATTGAAGAAGGGGAGGGAGAGGAAGAGAAAGGAGGGAGGGAGAGAGGGAGAGAGGCAGGAAAGAGTAAGGAAGGGAGGGAGGGAGAGGAAGAGATTATTGGGGGGGAGAGGTGTTGGGAGGGAATTATGTTGTAGTCTTGGAGGGTGAGTGAGGCTAAGTATGATTAAAATACATCGTATGTATGAAGTTCTCAAAATTCTCAAAGAATAAAAATTGTACAAGTTTTGATGACATTAACTTCTATCAGAGTATGAGATAACATACAGAAAAAGTGCACGCTGAGCAGTGACCCAACTCTGTAAGCATGAGGACCTAAATTCAGATCCCAGCACCACATAAAGAGCCTGATAATGTGTGTGTGGGGGGGGGGGGGCAGGGGATCCCTGGGGCTTGAGGACCAGACATTCTAGGTCATCAGAAAGCCCTGGTTCATTCCTCAGGCTCAGTGTGAGAGAGGGGACAACACTAGTGTTGACCTCCACAGGTATGCACACCCATATACAGCCACACATGCACATACACACAAAATTATAGGAAACCTGACCAGACAGCTTGATGGACACTTACAATGTGACACATTTGCATTTGTGAAACTCTTATTTTTTATTTCAGAACACTTGGAGTACCTCAGAAAGGGAATAGGAGCACACACAGGTAATCTCAGACACTCCACCTGAGACCCAAGGCTGGCAGACTGAAGGACAGCCTGTGCTACATAAAGGTTGCTGACCAGCCAGGACTACAAAGCAAAACTGCCTCTGTGCGCTACCTTGGAAAAAAACAAAAAAGAACAGAAAGTAAAGAGAAGAGAGGGGAAGAATGGGAAAAGGACAGAAGTAGGAGAGAGAAAGGGAAGGGAAGGGAGCAGCAAGGAGACACAGAAGAAAGGCAGAACCACAGGGTTTTCCTCAAGCTCCACCATGGCCATCCTCTCCAAGAGGTCACCACATTCTTACTTCTGTCATTTGTTGTCTATTTCTATTTAGTTTTTACTTCTATTATGTAGTAGAGCTGCTGACCTAACCCAGGGCTTCAGGCCTGGCCCAGGTATGACACTGAATTATATCCCCAAATCTGAGGATTAGATAACTATGTAATGAACTTTCTTCTTTTTATTGTTTTTATTGAGCTATACATTTTCTCCATTCCCCTCCCTTCCTCCCCTCTCCCCTTTTACTCTCTCCTGTGACCCCCACCTTTCAATTTACTCAGGAGATCTTGTCTTTTTCACCTTCCTATGTAGGTCCATTTATGTATCTCTTAGGTCCTCTTTGCTGTCTAGTTTCTCTGGGATTGTGAACTGTAGGCTGACTTTTCTTTTCATTATATCTAAAAGCCACTTATGAGTGAATACATATTATATTTGTCTTTCTGGATATGGGTTACCTTACTCGATATGGTTTTTTCTAGATCCATCTATTTGCCTGCAAACTTCAAGATGTCAGTATTTCTTACCATTGAGTAATACTCCATTGTGTAAATGTACATTTTCTTTATCCATTCTTCAGTAGAGGGGCATCTAGGTTGTTTCCAGGTTCTGGCTATTACAAAAAATGGTGCTATGAACATAATTGAGCACATGTCTTTGTGGTATGATTGAACATCTTTGAAGAAAGAAATTGATAAAGGCACCAGTAAATGGAAAGATCTCCCATACTCTTGGGTAGGTAGAATTAACATAGTAAATGGCAATCTTACCAAAATATACCTACAGATTCAATGTAGATCAAAATCCCAGCAAAGTTCTTCACAGACCTCAAAGGAACTTAACTTCATATGGAAAAGCAAAAAACCCAGGTTAGCCAAAACAATCCTGTACAATAAAGGAACTTCTGACAGCATCACTATGCCGGACTTCAAACTCTACAATAGACCTACAGTAATGAAAGTAGCCTGGTATTGGCATAAAAACAGACAGGAGGACCAGTGGTATTGAATTGAAGACCTGGATACAAACACCTGATTTTTTATAAAGAAGCTAAAAATATAAAATAAAAAAAGCATATTCAACAAATGGTGCTGGCAGAACTGAATATCAACATGTAGAAGAATGAAAATAGATCCATATCTATTGTCATGCACAAAAATCAAGTCCAAATGGATCAACCACACTGAACCTCATAGAAGAGGAAATGGGAAATACACTTGAACACATTGGCACAGGAAACCACTTCCTAAATATAACCCAAGTAGCACAGACACTGAGAGCAATAATTAATAAATGGTACCTCCTGAAATTGAGAAGCTTCTGTAATCAATTTTCTAGTTGATTCTCTTCACCACCAACCCTTTTCTGGCTTTACTCTAAACCTAAGTGTTTCTGTGACACCTGCCTTACACTTATGGGGCACCTGGAGAATCCTGGACCAACAACTCACAAGGAGATGTCCCACACCTGTGCCACGATTTTTTTAAGAACCCATAACTCTGGGAACAGCGTTATCCCCTCATTTTTTAAGTCTTTTTGTTTAATTGGCTTACAAAATTGTAAATTTCCACATGACTTTTTCACACAGATCTAGTTTCAGATGAACTTCCCTCCACCCCTCACCTCCTTCCTCCTCCCTTACCCCCAAGTAACCCTTTCTCTACCAGCGTTCCCTCTGTATTTTCATATAACACGCATTTACTGCCCCTCCCCAGCAATGGTGTTTTTCACTCTGCCTGGCTCTGATCTAAACACACAAATGTAAAAATTTCAAGATAGAACCACCATTTGAGAGAGAACATTTGTCTTCCCAGGCCTATATTACCTCACTTGGCATGGTATTCTCCAGTTCCATTTATTTTTCTACAAATTTCATTTTCTTTACAACTGAATAAAATTCTATCACGTACCTGTATTGGAAGGAGAGAGCTGCATGTTGGTTCCCAGCTGCCCGGCTAACTTAGGCCCAAAATAATTACACAGAAACAGTATTAATTAAATCACTGCTTGGCCCGTCAGCTCTAGCTTCTTATTGCCTAATTCTTATATCTTAATTTAACCCATTTCTATTAATCTATATATCACCACATGGCTGTGGCTTACTGGGTAAAGTTTCCAGCAACTGTCTGGGGCAGCTCCATGGCTTTTCTCTGACTCTGCCCTTCTTCCTCCCAGCATACAGCCTAGCTTTCCCCACCTAGTTCTGTTCTTCCCTGCCATAGGCTCAAAGCAGTTCTTTATTCATTAACCAATAAAAGCAACACATAGACAGAAGGACCTCCCACACCATACATGTACTGAAGTGACTAAGGCAAAGCCATCTTGTCCTATGTCCATTTTGTCAGCTCAGACACTTCTCAGCCCCCTTCCCCACAACAGTGATGTCTGCCTTAGAAACACATTTGGGATTCCCATGACCACTGTGACCCAAATGTGTTAAGCTAAATAATTAGTGATATAAAAACATAAACTAAAACAACCAAAGAAGTATAAGTCAAAAGTGATTGTATTGCTGTGTCTGAAATAACTATGCTCTATCAAAACAAATCATGCAAGGTAACTTTGCCTCTTGTCCAGTATCGGTGAAAGTGTATGCTTTGCCCTGAAAATGCTGTACCTCTGACCTTCTGCACCAGGGTGCTTGAGGCATGAGCATGCTGTTAGTCATGGCCAAAACTAAAGGACTTTATAAGCTTTATTGTCTATATTAGTGTGGTGATCTGTATCCTCCTGCATGGATTTATTATAGTGCCACATTTCCATTATGTTCATCACCAGTGCCATCTAACACTGGACATCTGGGTTATTTACTCTATTATGACTAGAGCAGCAATGAACACAGATGGGCAAGTATCTCTGTAATAGGAGACAGAGTCCTCTGGATACATGTGTGGGAGAAAACCCTCACCAGCTACACCCTTGACAAGGGAAATAATAACAAAATACAAAAAAATAAACTTGAAAACATCAAGAATGAAATGACACAATAAAAAATAGGCTGTGGAACTAAGCAGAGAGCTCTCAATCAACAGGGATATGTGATGGCAGTACTGGTGCCCTTGGGGGCCTGCAAAGGAAGTCAGATCCCCTGAAGCTGGAGTCACAGAGATTTGCAAGCTGCCCCATATGGATGCTGTGAACTGAGCTTCTCTGGAAGAGCGGTCAGTGCATTCTTGACCACTGAGACGTGTCTGAGCTGTCCACCTCGCACTTACCCATGGATTCTCTTACACTCTGTACTATCATTTCTCTTTGAATGCAGTTTCCCTCTTACTTTGCAACTAAATAAATATAATGTTAAAAGATGGCATGCATAAATTATATTGACTGCATGTAGAAATAATATTTTGATATATTGGGTTAGATAAGATGTGTTATATAAATTATTTTTATTAAAAGCCTCAAAGGAAAAACATCATTAATGTGCCAACATTTTGCTTCCTGGCAATCAAGTCCTCATGTTAGCTATCTTCTGAAAGCTTCTGCTGTTTCTAGAAACAGAGATGCCATCAAATGATAGTGCATTTTCCTTTATCACCCATTTAAAATGCAAACATACTATTTTCCCAGCATCCTTAATAAAACCTAAAAGACTAGTACATAAAGAAATACATGTGTCCCTTCAACTTTTGATTCCAATTTGTTCTCCAGAGATGAAACCAAAGGATCGGGTATCCCATTAATCTTCCGGAGGCAGCTGATCTGTGCTCCTGTGCATTTGCATGGGATAGGAGCATCTGTAATACCAATCACACTATAACATGGAGTTTCCACTTTATTTTATAAGAAATCTTCAAGCTGAATTTACGTTAGTATACAGGAAGCTTGACTGACATTTGTTTCTTGGCTATATAGTAACTCAGGATCAAGACATTAAAATTTGTTACCAATCTTATTCAATGATGTTTAAGTAGTTTCCAAATTTATCACCATTACAACACTATCTGTTGTAGAAAGAGTGGGCTGCGTCCTGGCTTAACCTCTGAAATAACCACACAGAAAATTTTATTAATTAAATTACTGCCTGGCCCATTATATCTAGCCTCTTCTTGGCTAACTTTCACATCCTAATCTAACCCATTTCCACCAATCTGTGTATCATCATGAGGTCATGGCTTTCTGGGAAAGATTCTAGCCAGCATCGGTCTCAGGCAGGAGCTTCATGGTGTCTGCCACACTGCCTTTCTTCCCAGAATTTAGTTCGGTCTATTCTACCTATCTAAGTTCTACCCTATCAAAAGGCCAAGGCAGTTTCTTTATTATACCAACGAGAGCAACACATAGACAGAAGAACCTCCTACACCAGCTATCAATGACAAAATACCCCAACAAAAGCAACTTAAGAAAAAAAAAAGGTTTGTTCGGGCTCATGGCTGCAAATGATATATTTAGCATGGTAGAGAAGGCATGCAGAAAGAACTGGGGGCTGGTTGATCACATGGCATCCCGTCAGTATGTCACAAGTGATAGACGTTAGTGTCCAGCTTTCTTTTACTTTGTAACTAGGTCCCAAGTCCAGAGGGATGGTGCTACCCACCCATGGGGTAGGTTTCCTACCATAGTTACCTGAGATGATGCCCCCCAAGCTAACCTAGATAAGATGGTCCTCAGAGTGCAGAAGAGCTTGTGTCCTAGGTGATTCTATACCCAGTCAAGTTGGCCAACAGTAACTGTCACAGTGTACAATGACTAATCACATCACTTTCATACGAATGCTTTCAAAATTTGTCCCCTAAAAGCAAACATTGTGCAAACGTGTGCACATATGTTCTATGCACTGCAGGTGAGGCACAGATGTCTCTAATCAACACTCTTCTGTTTAGTTGGCCGAATGAAAATGAAAACATGAAGCTTCAAAGAAAGACAAAGTATATATTCAAGGATCATCATTTCATCCAAAGAAGACTTTTAAAAAAATATTTAAATAAATCCTATTTAAATGATGAGGTAAGGCCATTTATAATGTCCATGATCAAGAAAAAAGGACCACAGATTGCTTTAGCAAATTCTTTTAGAATATTCTCTAAAATGGAACCACTGTTTTCCTTCATATCTTTGAGGTTAGAATTCAATCGCTCTATTTCTCCACTCATTTCCTCAGATTTCTTCTTAAATCCTTCTTCAAGCAAAGCCTTTTGATCCTAAAACAGTGAAGATGAAAAAGAAGTAAATACTGTTAAACGCAAACATAGCACCAATTATAATTTCAAGTCTATAGCAAGTGGTCCTTACTGTACCCCTAAATGATTTCCTTTACCATGAAGAAGATAATCTGAGTCAGACCTACACATTTTGAGGGAAGATAGTTGAAACTTCACTGATGTTGATCCATCATGTTTTGGCTGCAATGCTGGCAGAGGCGTGAAGATATTTCTACACTCATGCCCACTGAAATGCCACTGGTTGAATTGTGCAGAGCTCGATCTATGGACACAGTGTGGCAACCATATCATGAAGACAGTAGCAACCTATCAGTTGCTGTTTTGCTTGCAGATAGGCAATGAGAAAATCACTCCACTGCCTTGTGCTGCTTTACGCAGGCTGTCTACCCTGGAGACAGCTACAGGACCTGCAGAAGCTGCCAATTCCCTGCGCTTTTCTGTCTGGACATGTCTTTCAATTTTCTGCCAGCATAGATCATGCCCAGACTTGAGGAGGGCGTGTCAGGAGCCTGATACTCTGGGCCTTGATAACAAGACTCATTGCAAGCCTTAGTAAATTGCCTGGTTGGGAATTTGTTTAGTGAGTTCCCATGAGGTCATTTTTAAATATCCTGAATTGGTAAATCAAACTAGTACAGAAAAAAAAACTAAAGGAGCAACTGAAAACCTGAAGGAAGACCTCCTTAGCAACAATACTTTTAGGTGTTCCTCTCAGAACCTAACTACAAACTTTCCCTGCCACTTAGGGTATGAGGATCACCACAGTGATGAGGAGTCCTACCTGCAGCTGCTTCTCCAGCATCTTTTCCTGGTCTCTGATGAGCTGCTCTCTCTCCTGCACCAGCTTCATTCTCAGTTGTTCGAGGTTTTCCTTGTGACTTCTTTCTTGAGCCTCCATCAGTTGCTGCTGCTCCTTCTGCTTCTGTCTAAGCAGGTCTTGCTCCTTCTCTGCTGCCTCCTTCTGGGCCCGCTCCTCTGTGCCAGTAACATTCAGGGAGGGAAGAAAGTGATGGGTCAGGTAAAATGTCTACATTCCAGAACCCAGAGAGCAATTCAGACCTGAAAGGAAACTACAGACTCCACACTGGTCCACACAATGGACAGAGTGTTTCTGGAGGGGATGGAGGAGACCCTGCCCACCTGGATGAAACACAGACTGACTTCCTGTTGCTCTAGGAGTGAGCATCCACAGAAGGGTAAAAAGCTGCTAACAAGGGGATAGGCTAACTACGACTTCTATCAGAAAGCCTTGTGGGAACCTGACCCCTCCTGAAAGCCAAGAGACATGCTCCTGTACCTGCAATGGCCTTCTCCCCAGCAGTGAGGGCTGTATCTGCCTGCAGAATGGAACTCTCGATGGTGGCCTGTGACTTCAGAAATCTCTGGAAGACTTCACTTGCCTGCAGGACCAAGAAGGAGCAAAGACCTTGATGGATCCTGGGAGAGAATCTATGTGAGTTAACATGGTCTCCACTGTGCCTCACTGTTAAAATGCTACGGTGAAGCCTGCAGTCTGTCCATGCTCTTCACTGGCAATAGATACTTCTGGGTCCATGGCTTCCCCAGTTATCTCACTAGGGCCAGCTGCTACCTCCTGCTCCCAGATCCAGCCGGTTCACATCACATGCAGATGTGCTCAATGCAACCTATGATGCTTTCAAATATTGTATCACCATGTAAAATGCTGCATAACTGTGTGGGCTTCACTTTCTTCTGCTTTGAGGTAGGAAGTCTTTCTGTATATGTGCTGCTTTTGATTGGTTAATGAATAAAGAAACTGCCCTGGCCTGTTGATAGGACAGATTAGAACTAGGTGGGGAAAACTATACTGAATGCAGGGAAAAAGAAGGCAGAGTGGAGAGAAGCCATGTAGCACCCCCAAAGACAGATGCCTGAACTTTACCCAGTAAGCCACAGCCTCATGACAATAGACAGATTATGGAGATAGGTTAAATTAAGATATGAGAGTTAACCAGAAATAAGCTTAAACTCTTGGCCAAACAGTATTGCAATTAATATAGTTTCTGTGTGATTATTTTGGGGCTGAGCAGCAGGGAACAAAACAAGCAGCCTCCATACAATACTGCTTTTGCTGGATGTATTTAGGGTCAAGTCCCTCTATCTGCCAGGGCATCATGGTACAGATATGTAAACTCTCTCAGTAGTGGGGGGGGCATCACCCAAAGCATTTTAGATAACTAAAGAAAGGACTAAAAAGAACCCACTATGGTGTCATTGGCAACAACTGAGTAATATGTTAGCTGTGTTCTTAGATTTATTGGCACTCCATAGGTAGCTCATTCTGACAGACTCAGAATTTTTATGTGAGTATTTCCAAGAATTAGTAGTAAATAGCAGTCATTCTGAGCCAAGCATGGTTCTGGTGATGGGGCTTGAAGGTAAAGCAATTAATTCCTTTACATCACAAAGGCCTGGTTTTGGTTGCCAACACTAACATGAAGCTAAAGATGCCATGCTATCCTCATCTTTTCTTATGCAGTGCTGTGTGCTCATGTTTTATGACATGTTTCCTGTGTTCTGAGCCCTATGCTCCCTGCTCCTCACCCCTCCCCTATGCTTCCAACTCCTCACCCCTTTCCCATGCTTCCTACTCCTCACCCCTTCCCCATGTTCCCTATTCCTCACCCCTTCCCCATGCTCCCTACTCCTCACCCCTTCCCCATGCTTCCTACTCCTCACCCCTTCCCCATGTTCCCTACTCCTCACCCTTTCCCCATGCTCCCTACTCCTCACCCCTTCCCCATGCTCCCTACTTCTCACCTTCTTCCCTTTTCGGGGCACCTGCCAATAGTCATGCTCAATCTTCTTCCTCATTTGCATGTAGAGCCTGTGTCCTCCAGGAACAAAAAATGTTGAAATATTTTCTATAAAAGCCTTTGAAAGCCGATTGAGTTCTTCCTGGCAGTATTGATCTGATGCTTCTTCATTCTTCGATATGAACTTGCTTTTCTTCTCATCTATTAACTCCTACAAGAGAAATGGACAGAGTTCTGACACGTTGAAGGAATAGAAGAGACAAATTTCCAAGAAAGTTTGTAGAAGAGTCAGCCTATTACCTACAAGAAAGTATTGTAGTGTAATAAGACCACAAGAGAATGTGAAATGTTAATGCCTGAATTAAGATTCTAAGAAATCTGTACAAGGCTACAGTAAATGTTCTTGAAGTTCTTAGCCCTTAAAACCTTCTGGAAAAAGATGGCTCTTCACCTACAATCTCTGGATCCATGTGGGAGTCACATCCTGTAATTCCATCTTCAATGATATAACAAGGAGCAATAGAAGAGCAGTGGCCTGCAGTGGGACTCTTGTGAGAAACTGTTTCATAGGAACAGAAGAATAAAGCAAGTTCAGGGATGACTTATAGGTAACTGCCTCCAGGACTTAGGAAACTATATACTCATTATTCTAATCATTAGAGATTTCTGGATAAAAAGCACCTGAAGTCTGGCAAGGGGACATGAGTCTTTCACAACTGTGTTCACAATGAACACGCAGAGTGCCCATCTTAGAATGAGTCACATAACCGGGGTCAATGAAGGCACAGCAACACTACAGCCTTGAATGGACACAGGTATGACAGTTAATGACACTTACCAACAGCTTCTTCTGGAATTGCTGGTTTTCATCCTTGAAGGAGTGCTCCATGAAGACAGCAATGGCTTCCTTCTCACAGGCTGTGTGCACATCCAGCAGCTCCTGGAGCGTGTCTGTGGGGAGCCTCAGTCGCTGGCCCATCTGTTCACTGTAGTGCTCAGCTGCCTTCTGCACAGCTGCTGAGTTCTCACGCTGGGCCAGAGTTGTCACCGCATCATCCAGACAAGGCACAGCTCCACTGTTGATGGCATCCACGTAGGTCGTCACCAGAGTCCCCAGTCCTTCACAAACCAGGAGTTTTAGGGGATAAAGGTGAAGTTAAAAGTGAATGGGATCCAAGATTTTAAGACTTCATTTCTAATCTCCCACAACTACACATGTACACTTGCAAACATAAACACGATAAAAATCACTCACGATTCCCGGTGACCTTAATTCCCTCTCTGAGTGTCTTGATCTTTGCCTCGGTGAAGATGTAAGAAACAAAAGCCCTCATTTGTTCCTGGAACTTAGGATCCAGTTGGTCTTCTGAGATAGTCTCAATTTTGCATAACAGTTCTTTGTCATTTGTTGGCCGATCAAAGACAAAACACTTCCGTTTAGGGAAGAAACGTCTGATGCACTCCCTGGGCAGATTGGATGCTTGGATTCTGGTACTATTGCCTAGTGTTAAGGGAAACACAAAGCAATGGGAATAGACTTAGAGCAGAGGGCAAATGATGGAGGCCCTTGTCTCTGTACTCACAGGTCTCTACCATAAACATGCAACACTTCTTTACAGGTCAAAAGTATACCAAGTTTGTACTTGGTAGACATCTGGTGAAATAGTTCAAGAGACATTTGACTCCACTGGGAAGAGCATATGGTTGAAATCTACAGGCATGAACATGGCATCAAGCATACTGTTGTTGGAGGAAGGGCCTCTTGTTCTTCCTGGCTGCCCAGCTAGCTTAGATCCTAAATAATGACACGGATATGGTATTAATCAAAACACTACTTGGCCCATTAGCTCTAGCTTCTTATTGGCTAACTCTTACATCTTAATTAAACCCTTTTCTAGTAAGCTGTGTATCACCACAACATCATGGAGTACCAGCAAAGTTTTAGCACATCTATCTCCGGTTGTGGCTCCAAGGCATCTCTCTGACTCTGCCCTTCTTCCTCCCAGCATACAGCCTAACTTTCCCCACCTAATTCTGTTCTTCCCTGCCATAGGCTCAAAGCAGTTCTTTATTCATTAACCAATAAAAGCAACACATAGACAGAAGGACCTCCCACACCACACTGTAGTTGTGTGCCCTGTTGACTGAACAGCAAAAGTTTTAATGTGATTTCTGGCCCAATTACTCCTTTGTAGCAAAGGAGCTGTTGTGACCCAAAAGAAAAGCCACAAATAAAGGATAATAGAGTATAAAAATTAGCAACATTAGCAATTCTAAGCACGAAGCTATGGTTACTGAAAACTACTTTGATGCTAAACTTCCCACAGGGCAGGATTCCCTGCCCTCTCTTAAGGAGGGAGGGGAAGGGAGGAGGGAGAGTGGGGGAGCAGGAGGGAAATGGGAGGAAGGGAGGAAGTGTAAATTTTTTGAATGGAAAAATAAAAAAACAAGAATTCCAACACAATGAGCAAGAAAAATCATTTTTGTAAACACCAAATATACACTATAGAAAAATAAAAGTATCCTTCCCAGTTGGGGAGGGAAGGCAGGACTATGAACAAGTATAGGATACATAAGTCTATACATACATCTAGATATCAGATGTGCTACATTAACACATTATTTTATGAAACTGCTGTATTGAGGACTTTCTCCCATTCTATCATGTGGATGGGTGGGGTGTGTGTATGCATGTTTGCCTGTGTCTGGGTGTGTGTGTGTGAGCACACATGCATGTGTCTGCATGTGAAGTCCTCTACAGCCAGTCTTTCCTTATTCGATGAGGCAGGGTCTCTCAGGTCAAACTGGACTCTCCGGTGCAGTCTGTCTGGCTAGCCAGCATGCTCCACCACCAGCCTGTGTCCTCAGCCTGGGCACTGGACTCAAGGTAGATGTTCACACCCAGCCAGCATTTATGGAAGTTCTGGAGATCACACCTTCAGTCCTCGCACTTGGGTGACAAGGGCTTTAAGCACAAAGTTATCTCCCCACCCCATGCACTAGGGATTTTTATTGAATCCATTTTAGCTGTTCATTCCATGACAATTAACCATGTGAGATGACAGCAGTGGCATCTGCTGCACTGGAGGAACCGCCTGTGTTCTACAACATCCAGGTACAACACTCAAGCAGAGCAATAAATGTTTTCTGAAAATTGAATACAGAGCTCTTATCCTTTCCATCAAAAGTTATATAAGAGGATCTCAATGAGTTTGAGGCTACCATGACCTGTATACAACATTCTAGGCTAGCAAAATAATCTATATTGTGAGATCTTTTTTCAAAAAAGAAAGAAAGAAAGAAAGAAAGAAAGAAAATCAAACAAACAAATAAAAAAACAAAATTGTAAACAAAAAAGGAAGAAAGAGAAAAAAGAAATAATAACAAAAGAAGAAAGGGGGAAAGAAAAAAGGAAAGGAAAGCACATGTTTAATCCTGGTATTTGGAAGAAAGAGGCTGGAGACACTCAATTTCAGGCCAGCCTAAACTCAGCTACATAGCAAACAACAGGCCCACTAAGGGCTACATTGTGATACCTTGATTAAAAATAAATAATAGCAGATTATAGTGAAGGGATTCTGGCCAGTGTAGTGAGCATGGGTCTGGCAGGCCTTTTCTTTCCCCCATTCCCTCTTCCTTGTTAAAGACCATTAGAATATATTCCTAAAATTAGCCACCAAAGTCTATTCTCTCATTTGGCCACTTCCTCCTGCTGAAACCAACTGCCAAGGTCCAGCTATGGATGTTCTGAAGTGCAACAATCAAAAACCCCCTTTGGCTCACCTAGTTAACATGCCCAATTAAAATTAAACACCTCATCCTAACATGGGATTTCCCCTTTTACCTTTATAAACTGCCATTTGGCTGTGGGCCATGTCTGTCTCCACTTTGTCCAGAGGCAGGTCCTTTGTCCTCTGGAACAAGGATCACCTTCCCATCTCCTTTGATCCCTTCCCCTTCTCCCTCATCCACCATCTCCTGTATTTGTCTCTTATGTCTCTCTGGGGCAAATAAAACTTTGGGATGAGAACTGAGCCATGGGGTGTCCAGGCCTGGATACTTTATTTCCTATGTAATTTCAGGACTGTGAGTACTGGTTTCACAGGCTGCTTTCCCACCTACTGTGTTTTTAATATTTTGAGTAAACAAAGACAGAAAAATAAAAGCAGTGAGCCAATCAGAACTGGCATTCCTCTCAGGCTTCAGACGCTCTACTCGGGCTAATAACGTCCATGTAAATAGTTTACAGACCACTAATATTACTGATCCTGAAAAAGTGGCATGAACAAAAATAGAAGGCTGTGATAAATAATGACACATTCTGAGAAGGCACAGACTGAAGAGACACATCTGTCAGTTTACTTGGAACACAGATGTTTTGCATGTGTTCCCACCCATCATTTAAAACCTATGTTTCTCCATGAGAAGAACAATGTATAACTCTGTAAAAATTTATTTTGAGATGGGCTATGTATGATAAATTCATGGAAGAAATTGTGTAGCCAAGTATTTCTTATAGGCAGGCAGACACAAAATCTAGCAATACAATCTCTGGATTTGGAGTTTAGATGGTTTAGACTCTAGACCTTAAAGCCCTGACTTGGAATAACTTTCCTATGCCCTAGGGTCTACTTTTCTCAAAAGAAATTAAACTCCATTTCCCAGGCATTATCAATCAATGGCTTATCGGAGTTTCTGCAGACCTCCATCCCTCTGCCAATACAGAAGGACCCCACAAACGATGGGAGCAACTCAGCAGATCCCAGCCCTTTCCAGGCCCCCACCTCAACCCTCCCTCTACCTGGGATCAGCTTCAGTGCATTCTCCAGGTACTCGTCCTCTGTGATGCTCTTTCCATCTAACTTCAGCTCCAGGGTAAAATCCCGAACAGTCCAGATGAAGTCTGGGAAGAAACTCACAAACTCTGTGGAATTCTTGATTCCATCAGGACTTGAGGAAGACTTTGTCCTGATCAGCTCAGTGAGTTCTGTGACGTAACTGGCACTGGGTTAAGAAAAAGTGAATTCACATGCACGTTCTCATGATTCTCTTATTAAAAATAAATCACAATAAGCACTCTTTGCTGCCCTGGTTCTCCTCTGCCCCACCAAAAGCCACACAGTGATAGGGCAGGTCAGTGCCTCTACATGCATTCCAGAACACTCCATGAAACACGGCGCCTCAGGTCCTGCAAGGATACTGCAGCTGCTCCAGGGCCTGGTGGTTGATGGTGCCCAAGCTGTTGTAGACAAAGGTGCTGCTCAGAAGCACAGCCAGGGCAAAGATCCACGAGTCATTCGTAGGGTCAACCTGGAAGACATATGAGGGCAGAGGACTGAGAAAGAACTCCTCAGAAGTCCATCTGGGATGCCTTTGTGGCCGTGTTTTGCTAGAAACTCTGGAGGGCAAAGCATGTGGAACAAGAGAGTGTGTTCTGGCTAGAGAGAATCCAAGATCAGCCTGAGAAACTTACTGGAACAAAACTCAAGTTCAAATGGATCAAAGACCTCAACATAGAGTATTTCTTAAGTAATAAAAGCAGAAGTCCTGTATGATCCTGAGATCTTATTTTTATCCACAAGTAATGGTTAATCTTCATTGTCAATTGATGGAATTTTAAATCACCATGGAAACAAATCTCTGGCCATTTCTATGAGGAGTTATCTAGATTGGGTTGCATGAAGACCTGTCCTAAACACGAATGGTACAGCTCCATCAGCTAGATCTCAAGCTGAAGGAAAAGGAGGAACAGAACTGAACTCAGGCCTTCCTTTCCTCTGCTTCACAATTGTAGATGACATGTGACCAACAGTCTTTTGTTTCTGCTGTTCACTTGATGGGCTGTATCTCCTGAAACTGTGAGAGAAGTAGGGAAGTCGATCAGATGATGCAAATACTGGAGAGTAAGAGAGATTCCAAGAGCCAGACTCATCCATGTTTCATGTGTCATTATTCAGAAGAATCAAAATGTTGAGTGACTGACTATAAATGTGTCTGAGTGACTGGATGGTAAAGAAAACATGGATGCAGCAATATGAACGCAGCATTTAAAAAAAAAGAGAGAAAGCCTGTCTTTGGAGACAGTGTGTATAAACCTTAGATCAGTATGCTAAATGACATCAGACAAATTTTAAAAATACAGTGTTACTAATGCCTTTCTGGAGTGAAATGGAAAACCTGGGAATTTAGACTCTGCTCTCATGTCTAAAACTAAGGGAAGGAATAAAAGGATGAATCAGCAAGCAAGAGGACGCAGGATGGAAAGGTTCTTACTGAGCAATCCCAACAGCTATTTCAATTTCTGTAACCCACATGAAGGTGGAAGGCACTGTGGCATGTGCCTAAACACGCGCGCGCGCGCGCACACACACACACACCACGCATATTCATGCACCCACATACACCACATAACATCTCACATACAACAGCAAGATTTTTTTTTTAATCACTCATTTAAGAAAGTCAAGTTCGTCTAACTAGTTATTGTGGGACAAACAGGCCTTCACTGAACCTGCAGAGTCAGCTCTCTCCAGAATGCCATGTTGACAGTTAGTAAATTTCACAATAAAAAGAAAATGTGAACCCAAGGGGCTGGATAGATGGCTCAGAGGAACGAACACTGGCTGCTGCTCCAGAGGACCACAGTCTAGTTCCCGACATCCACATCAGATCGTTTCTAACTTCTGTAACTCCAGCTCCAGGAATCCAAAACCTCTGAACACCAAGGATGCCTGTACTCACACACACATACCATAGGCAGACACACACACAACACACAATAAAAAAAAATATCTCCCAAATGTATAAACCTAACTCCTTAACTCCATCCTCAAGATGTATCCTTGGTATCTCAGAAGACAAGACAGAAGTCATTCTTCTTCATTCACTAGAATGGGCTGTTATCCACCTTCTCATCAGTGTATCCTTCCACCTAACTGTTCCTAGTACGATGTCATCAACCCTCTCATCAACGCATTCATCTGCCTGTTTCTAGTATGATGTCACTGTCCCTCAAAGCATCCATTCACTTACCTGCTCCTAGTATGATGTCATCCACCTTCTCCTGGAAGCATGCTTCCACCTAACACTTATAGCAGAAGTAGTGCTGGCTACCTGAGTCACCTTTCAAAATGGAAGACCTTGTTCATCTAGCTATGGCAGTGCTGATGGGTAGCAGCTCTCATATGCCAAGCCTCCATATGACAAAGGCCTCCATGGAAGACTGAGAGATGCGTAGGCACAAGAGATAAAGACTTTCACCATTGACCCAACAAAGGCTAGTTCAAAAGTTCCAGCCCCAGCTCTCCTTGAAGTTCAAAGGTCAGAGGCTGCCCCGTGATGTCTTTTCCTCTCACCATCCTGATTCTTTCTAGATACTAGACTCTACCACAGTACACAGAGGTAGGATCCTCAATGAAACTAGGAGCTCCAAAGCCACACAGAGAAACCCTGTCTCAAAAAAGAAAGGAAGAAAGAAAGAAAGAAAGAAAGAGAGAGAGATCTGACCTTATCTAAGAGTGAAATCTAAATAGAAGTAGGCAGATGCTTCTGTCCTGCAGGGTCCCAAAGCCCTTCAGTTCCAAAGTAACAAAGAGAGACTTATATTAATTATAAACTGTTTTTCCTATTAGCTCAGGCTTATTATTAACTAGCTCTTACAATTTAAATTAATCCATAATTCTTACCTATGTTTAGCCAGGTAGCTTGGTGCCTTGCTCAGTGCAGCATTCTTATCTGGCTTCCTCTCTATCTGGGTGGTGACTACAGACTGAGCCTTTACTCTTCTCAGAATTCTGGTAGTCTGGTTACCCTGTCTATAATTCCTGTCTGGATACTGGCCAGTCAGCACTTAATTAAGCCAATAGGACTGACAAATCTTTACAGGATATGAGAGCATTATCCCACAGCAAAGAGATGAGTGTTTTACCTCACCTGCTATAGTTCACTCTGTAGAACTAATAGACCTATTTATAAATTGATCAATTAGTTAGATAACAAGGGATCATAACGGACAGCTTGAGCCTCATCCTACCTTTTCCACATCACCCAGGCCCTCAGTATCCAGAAGAACTAGGGTGTGCTTTGGCTTGGTGGGATGTGGCACACACCACATCCAGATGCCCTTGGTTTCAGACTGCACAGTGGAGCCCAGAGGGAAGCCTGAGGGAAGAAGTGAGGACTTAGGTTCAGTGTGTGAACATCCTGCACAGATAGCCCCGTGTGCTCAAACATCAATGTCTAGCAGCCAGCACCATTTTGAGGGATTCTGAAGGATTTATGAATTGGAGTCTGCATGGAGGATACAGCAGCCACAGAAGTAATATTGGAAGTTATGACTGGGTCACAAGTTTCTTCCTCAGTCTCGGCCATCTGTCATCCATGCAGCTGCCACTGTAATCTCACTATGGTCTCAGGATCAATGACTCCAAAGAGTGTCCAGACAAATTGATCCCCATTAGGTTATTCTCTCTGGTGTTTTAAACACAGCCATGAAAAAGAAAAGAAGAGGACAATGCACACACAATTGGCAGTGCTGTGAATCCCAACACTCAAAACGGTGCTTCATCTTTCCTCAAGATGAGCTGTTAAAAAGACATTTAACATAAGAATTATGCCACACAAAAGCACCAAATAAAAACAGAGAGGCATCACAAATCTGAAAACATGGAGCACTCTGGTGGCTGCAGTGAGTGTGATGAACCAGCCATGGTTGTACACGCCTGTCATTCCTGAAGGCAGGAGACAGAGGCAGGAGAATTGCCATTAGCTTGAGAGCAATTGGGACTACATAGCTAGAACCAGATCAAACAGTAAGACTGTCACAAAAAAGAAAAAGGTACTTCCTCCAAATTGTGGGAAATGGTATGAGTTCCAACTCAGAGACACACAAGAAGAGAAAAAACTAGAAAAAGAAAATTATTATAATAATTTTGTATTCAAAGTTATTAAAGAAGAAAAACAAAAGTGCAGCTATAAAAATATATAAAGCCCTTTTTAAAGTTTTTTAATAATTTTTTATTTGTAAATAATCTTGAAATTTGCTTATTTTATTTTATGAATATTGGAATTGTGCCTACACATATATAAGTGCACCATGTGCATGCCTCAAGCCAATAAAGGCCAAATATGGGCATCAAATCCTCTAGAGCTGGAGTTAGAGAATTTTGAGTCACCACATGGGAACTGGGAACCAAATCCTGTCTTCTGCAAGAGCAGCCTAGACCACCTATCCTACCCATGATTTTAAAGACTTAAGTATTCAAAGACATTTCTATCATGATGGAAATACTTTACTGAGAAAGGAAAACCTGCTGTATGAGACAAGAGACTGATACACAGAATCCCATTGCTTTGGGCATCAGAAAAGGCCCTGTCTTGAGCTCTCCTGGGAGAGATTTTCTTAAATGAAGTGGAAGGAGAAAAAAAGGAATGCAGGAACCGATTATTGGGGAGCAGTAATTAATCATGCAAATTAGCATGAGAGGGTAGATTTGTTGAAAGGACTTTGGCTTTTCTTTGTTACAGTTGGGAATCAGAATTAAGATAAAGGGACAAAGACAGTCAAACCTTTGGCTAGCACCCAGCATGCCACTCACCGTGATTCTGTCCTAACAGACGGTTCATCAGGTAGGACTTCCCTGTACGGTACAATCCAACAACAGCCACAACTACCACTGGCTGGGAAATCTTGTTCAGAATCTCGATGGCTTTTGGGTTCACAGACAGCCAGTCCTTCTGGTTTTCCACCAGACAAATGGGAGCCATCATTTGGGATCCGATCATGGCAACTTGCCAACCTAGAAGAATCTGCAAGAAGAATCTGCAAAAAGAATACAAAGCCATTGTCTGCTTCAGTGTTACTCAAGTCCTAAGTGGCTCAGGACTGATGACATTTGCACATTTCCTATTGGCAGTGAAGAGATACAGAGGAGGTTCTCCACTTTCTTCATCATTCTTCAAAGTTCGAAAGAAGCTTTTGGTAAGATATGGGCTGCCATCATATGTAAGGGTTTGCTTCAATAGTAAATACCAAACAACTTTTGCCTTCATTAAGGTCTTCCAATATGCTAAGCCTTGTAATGAATCTTTATATGTGACCTCCCAAAATCTATATGAACCTATATGTTACAGATTACTGCACATTGCCAATGGGATAAGTGAATTTGCAAAACCTTAAACACCCAGCAAAATGGCAGAGCACTTGGTTCTAAGCCCTTGTTCCCCCTGTGAATGACTTTAAAGTGACTGGAAAATATATCGGAGTTTTTAAAACGCACATGAATTACACAAACACTGAAATATTCCAATGAATAAATAATGTGAATTACATGTACATTTACTTGACTTTTCACTGCCTAACCCCGCACCCCATCTGATACAGAGTCTGTCTACAGAAAGTAAAGAAGACCTTAATTGTAACCAACTAACCTGGGGCTAACCTGGTGTCTATTTTACCTAATTTGGATTTCGAGGAGGAATTATTTCTAGAACATGAACTAAAATTTCAATATGAGTGAATAAATAGAAAAAAAATCCACATTTTAAAATTAAGAACTTATAGAGGGTATAAAAGGCAGTCCAAGTGCTGTGAGACAATGGTTTTTTATCCTGTCATTTGTATTATTTTTAATAAAATGCTTATTGGGGGCTGGAGAGATGGCTCAGTGGTTAAGAGCATTGCCTGCTCTTCCAAAGGTCCTGAGTTCAGTTCCCAGCAAGCACATTGTGGCTCACAACCATCTGTAATGAGGTCTAGTGCCCTCTTCTGGCCTGCAGGCATACACACAGACAGAACATTGTATACATAATAAATAAATAAATAAATAAATAAATAAATAAAATAAAATGCTTATTGGCCAGTAGCCAGGCAGGCAGTATAGGCAGGGCGACTAGGCAGGAAGTTGAGGCATGGCTATGAGAATTATCGGAAGAAGGAAGTTTCAGTCCACAGTTGTGACCCAGATGCAGTGGATGCAAGATGTGACTGCCTCCCGAAATAGGTACCAAGCCACATGGCTAACACAGACAAGAATTATGGGTTATAAGAGTTAATAAGAAGGCTGAGCTAATGGGCCAATCAGTTTATAACTAATGTAGGCCTCTGTGTGATTTCTTTAGGACTTAACGACTGCGGGAACCGGGCAAGACAGAAACCTCAGTCAACAGAATGGTACCCAACATGTAGACAACTGCATCCACATAAAACCCGAGAGAGAGCTCAGGAGTAATTCTAGACCCAAAATAACAGTGTTAAGCATGACTTCTTGATAGCAGCACTGTCTCGGGTGCACTCTACTTGCTAGAGGCAAGTGCTCTCATTTAAGAGAGGCTTCCTGACTCAGCTTTAGCTGCAAAACCTTCCAGCTCTTTTAAGAGGTCCTGCCACAAAACACTTAAATGGTGTTGATGAAAAGCTGACTGCATACTTTTTGGTGGTTGCAGGGACCTTAAAATGCCATAGACTTGTGGCAATAAACATGGCTCCAGCCAATACCTCCACCATGAGGCCAGACTCTCAGAAAGCTAATAAATGGGGTAGATCCAGCTGTCTTGATCATAATTCTAAATTTTCCTTAGGTCCCCATGAGATTATCAGTGCCCCAAATCAACAGGAAGTAGCCTGAAAAACTACACCCACATTCCCAAAATGGACTACAGATATTTTTCTTTGTTTAGAATGTTGGTTACAGGTTGTTATGGATAACAGTTAGGAGAAAAGCTAAACAAAGGAGATTAGGTTCAGAGTTCTTGGTTTCTTAAAAAAGAAAAAAAGGGGGGGAATGCTGTGAGGCAATGGTCTTTTATCCTGTCACTTATACTGCTTTTAATAAAACACTGATTGGCCAGTAGCTAGGCAGGAACTGTAGGCAGGGCAACCAAGAAGGAAGTTGAGGCATGACAACGAGAATTACGGGGAGAGGGAAGTTTCAGCCTATACTTGTGATCCAAATATTGCTCATTTAAGAGAGGCTTCCTGACAGCTTTAGCTGCAAAAACTTTGCATCCCATTTAAGAAGTTCTGTCACAAAACACTTAAACGGTGTTTATAAATAGCCTACAGCATGCTTCTTCGTGTCAGCACAGGCCTTGAAATGCCATAGAGTTATGGCAATAAACATGGCTCCAGCTAGCAAGAGGCTAGACTCTCAAAAAAAAAAAAAGCTAAAGAATGGGCACTGTCAAAGCCACAGCTTTAATCCTAGCCATATTGCTTAGCAAATTAAAGACTTGTGTGGTCAGAAAAAGAGAGATATAGTAAAGACAGTTTCAGACAAAAAAAAAGCCTCTAAACTATTTAGAGTATATTTAAAAGTATATGTAGGCTTGGAAAAGAAAAAAAGGATAAAGTCCTTAAAATAAAAAAAAAAAAACAGAGTATAGTTGGGCGGTGGTGGCACACACCTTTAATCCTAGCACTTGGGAGGCAGAGGCAGGTGGATCTCTGTGAGTTCAAGGACAGCTTGGCCTACAGAGGGAGTTCCAGAACAAAGATGTACAGAGAAACCCTGTCTCTAAAAGACAAAAATTAAAAATAAAATTTAAAAAAATAGAGTTTAAAATAAAGCCACATGAAGATGGAAAACACAGAAAGAGTCTGGATATTGTATGTTATTATGTTCTCTTTGAATTGTTTGAATGCTGAGGAAGGTGCAACAGCTGCTAAAAGATATTTGTTTATAAATGCTACTGAATTAATCCAAGATAAGTATTTTGAAAATACCTTGATTTCAAAATTTGGGTATAGTATATGCTTTGGAAAAGAGCTTCTGCTTTTGTTTCCACAGAGGATCAAAAGCTATGGATTCCTTACTGGCTAATATAGTCTATCAAACAAGACTTTCTGGAGCAATGGCCCAGATGGTCCAACTCCATGACAGCTTCAGAACTACTGGCTGAGATGCACCTACCCACACAGGATACCCCATAAAAGACCTGATTAACAGCATCCCCAGTCAGCAGGAAGTAGTCTGGAGAACAATGCCCAAATTCCCTAAATGATTGTTTATAAATGTTTGTTTAAATTAAAAGTGGAAAATGTTATAGAGATGAATACTTTGCATTGTTATGGATCTTAGTTTATTGACACAAATTTAAGGTATATTTTGTTATATGTGTATTTCTGCTCTTCATTATGGTATTGTGTTTGTAGAGCTCATTTAAAATGTAATGTGTAAAATGTGTGGGGAATCCAGCCCATGGTTCCATCCAGGAGGATCCAAATTAAAGAGCCAAATCCCAAACAATCAAACCACTAGAAGGAAGACCATGAACAGCACGGCCGTTTTGGGGCTCCATCCTGGTCAAGCCTACAATGAAATTCTCAGAATTTGTTTCTTAATAGAACAACATCAGCCAACCAGAACTGAGCGGCAAACTCTACAGGCACTGTGAGTCGTCCTTCACAAGCAGAGAATGCACCTGAACGCCACACAAGACAAAGAGCTGTGGACTGACAGGGATGCCCAGTGTGGGTGCTGGGAACTGAACTTGCGTCCTCCACAAGGGCAGTGTGTGCTGCTAACCTCTGAGCCATCTCTTCAGCCCCCACATCATATATCTTAACTCTATAGTATAGTCTTAAAAATAATAGAATTTTAAGATTTTGTTGTTTTTTTATTAAAATGTATTTATTTTTTAAAAAAATGTAATGTGCAATTAATAAATCTAGGTTAATAAACAATTATCTATAATAGTCAAGTGTGTTATCATGTTAGTTAAGTTTTCTGAATGTACAAAGATATACTTTAGGTAGCTAGGTATTCTTCAAACCTTTCAAAGATGAAAAGAATGTGGCAATTAAAATGTTTTAATAACTTAGGACTTTTCATGACAATAAGATACATCTGCTCCTGGAAGCACCAATCTACTTCAAGAGGATGATGGGCATCATGGTGGCTCCTTATGGAGTTGGTTAGCCATTTGGGCAAGAAACTGCTCTTGACTGGACTGCTTGATAATATGTTGTATGAACTGGACATGCAGGACCCACAGAAATGACTGCTGAACTTGCCTAAAGGTGAGATGGAACTTCGGGGTTCCTGCATCACCATTCCTGACATCAAGCTCTATTATAGAGCTACAGTAATGAAAACAGTTTGGTATTGTCACAAAAACAGATAGGTACACCAATGGAATTGAATCAAAGGCCCCAATATTAATCCACACAGCAATGAACACCTGATTTTTGACAAAGAAGCTAAAATTATACAATAGGAAAAAAAAGCATCTTCAATGAATGGGGGTGGCATAAGTGGATATCAACATGGAGAAGAATGAAAATGGACCCATATCTATCACCATGCACAAAACTCAAGTCCAAATAGATCAAAGACCTCAACATAAAGCCAGCCACACAGAACCTCATAGAAAAAAAAAAGTGAGAAGTTGCCCTGAACACATTGGCACAGGAGACCACTTCCTAAATATATCACCAGGAGAACAGTCACTGGGAGAAACAACTAATAAATGGGACCACCTAAAACTGGAAAGCCTTTGTAAATCAAAGTACACAGTCATTAAGACAAACTGGCAGACTACAGAATGAAAAAAGATCTTTACCAACCCCACATCTGACAGAGTTCTGATCTCGAAAATATTCAAAGAACTCAATAAACTAGACACCAAAAAACCAAATGCTCCAATTTGAAAAATGGAGTACAGATCTAAACAGAGAACCTTAACAGAGGAATATCAAATGGACAAAAGACACTTAAGAAAATACTTAGCACCCTTAGTCATCAGAGAAATCAAAATCAAAAAAACTCTGAGATACCATCTTACACCTCTCAGAATGGCTAAGATCAAAAACACTGATGACAGCTTATGCTGGAGAGGATATGGAACAAAGGGAACACTCGTCCATTGCTGGTGTACAGCCACTTTGGAAATCAATGCGTCAGTTTCTCAGAAAATTGAGACTCAATCTACCTCAAGACCCAGAAATACACTCTTGGACATATACCCAAGGATACACACTCAAACCACAAGGACAGTTCCTCAACTATGTTCATAGCAGCACTATTTGCAATAGACAGAGCCTGGAAGCAAACTAGATGCCCCTCCCCTGAAGAATGGATAAGGAAAATGTGGTACATTTCTACGATGGAGTACTAATTAGTGGCAAAATAGCAATGACGTCTTGAAATTCCCATGCAAACTGATGAAACTAGAAAAAAAAACATCCTGAGTAAGATAACCTAGACCAAGAAATACAAACATGGACTCACCCATAAGTGGATATTAGACATTAAGCAAAAAATAACCAGCCTATAATCTATGACCCCAGAAAAGCTAGGTAACAAGGAGAACAATAAGAAAAGCATGCATGGATCCCCAGGGAAGGGGAAGAAAACAAGAAAGCCTGGGAAAATAGGGAGTATGGAGGGGGAGGAAGAACAAAAGCAGAGGGGGAGGGGTGAAGAGATAGGAGAGAGGAGAATATGAGGAATAAGAAGGCTGAGATGGAGGAAGGACAAAGAGGGAGATCAAGAAAAGAGATATCTTGATCAAAGAAACTATTATGGGGCTAGCAAGGAACCTGGCACTAGGGAAATTCCCAGGAATCCACAAGAATGATCCCAGCTAAGACCTTAAGCAATAGCAGAGAAGGTACCTGAAGTGGCCTTTGCCTATAGTCAGATTGATAACTACTTTGTCATCATAGAACATTCATCCAGAAACTGATGGAAACAGATGCAGAGATCTACAGCTAGCACTGGGCCAGGCTCCTAGAATCTAGTCAAAGAGAGGACCTGCCCTAGTGGGAGCTCAGTGACTCCAGATTGACAGCAGAGGAATCTGCATAGGTCCAAACTAGGCCCTCTCAATGGGGGTGACAGTTGTATGACTGGGGCATTATGTGGGACAGAGGCAGTTGGACCAGGATTTACCCCTAGTGCTTGAACTGGCATCCAGGAGTTCATTCTCTGCAGAGGGATACCTTGCTTAGCCTAGATCTATGGGGATAGCCTTGGTCCTGCCTCAAAGTAATATACAAGACTTTGTTGACTCCACATGGGAAGCCTTGCCCTCTCTGAGCAGTGAATGAGGGTGGGGTGGGTGAAAGGTGGGGTAGCTGGAGGAAGGGAGGGAGAGGGAATTTTTACTGGTATGTAAAATGAGAAAAGATAGTTTCAAAAAATAAAATAATAACAAAAAATTCTATTGCACACTACAATACAGATGAGCCTGAGGATATTATGCTGAGGAAGGAGAATGTACAGAATCCTGAGAATTTAGATGCAGGTGACGTCACAGGTTCTCTTCAACTTGCTCCCATATCTGAGAATAAGTTCAACAGCATGACAAAATGCATATATCCCCATATGATTTATATATCTCATATACACCCAAATCGAAGAGGATTTTGATGGTCTACTGCTGCTTAATAAAAGTCAGTCAGACAGAAATTAAATTCATTTCTAAACAGATATTTCCCAAGTTCTTGTGCTGAAGTTTCTCAATGGTTTCTACACAGAAAAGATACTCTTCTGACTTGAGTTGCTTAAGAGTCTGGCCAAGGATTGTGGGGCTGTGGTACAGCTAAGGCTCCCTCCCAAGGCTGCTCCCACAGCACTTGCCAAGGGCCTCAGTGGAAGCTGCCAGAGCAGGGGAGCCTGGAGTGTCAGGACACCACTGTGCATCTGTCACTTATCAAAGGAAAGAAACTTCACACACCTAAGCCAGCCACAGCCCTGCAGACCAAACAACACAGAATGCGCCTCTCCTGACCATCCCCCAGTCACCACGTGGAAATGAAAGTCAAATACAATCAGCTTTTATTAACATATTTACAGTGTACAAAAGGATTATTCTAATTGTCTAATCAAAATGGGGGTTTTAATTTTAACATAGTAAAATTATACACAACAAAAACAACTATTAAGTAGGCATTACAGTTACAATATCATTTGAGATTCAAAAATAATCAAATCCAGGTTCCAGACTAAGCTGCTTCTAAAAGGAAGAAAAAGTAAATAACATACTTGGTCCCCATCCCACAGGTGCAAGAGCAGGTCTCAGCTGCTTCAGACTCGCCTCTGCTTCCCTGCCTCTGCTCCTCTGCTGCTCTCTCTGGGAGTCCACCACACACACACTGCTGAGAGCATCACAGGCTGCAGCAGAAAGGAAACTGAAAGTAAAGGCATCAGAGCCCTGTTATCTGAGCCAATATGCTGGAGGACAGCAGGAAAGCCAATCACAGTTACTCTGCTGGCTGAGGGACCTCCCACTGTGAAGAGCATTTACCTCTCTTTCCTGAAATCTCTCTCCAGTGTCCTCCCCACAGAAGAAACAGAAACTGAAGGAAGTTACATAATCAGAGACTGTTACAACCGTGTTTCTCCCAGTGGAAATTCCCCCAGCTTCCTTGGTGAAGAGCTCTGATGCTTTTAATGTGTGTTCTTAAACAGAAACCATTCATCTAAAATCCGTCTTTAAAAGAAGCAACTAGAAAATAATGAGTAGGATCAATCAGAGAGCTGGGGGGGCGGGGGTGCTCTAAAGGCTCCAACTGCACCATCCTGGTGACCCAGCTCCATCTCTGGAACCCACACAAAGGTGGGGGAGCGAAGTGTGTTGTAGAATACTATTTTAAGGTGTGTTACTTTTGTTTATGCTCTGGAACATCTGTTGAATGATGCAAAGATGTGTTTGATTAAATAAAATTCACCTGTAGTCAGGAGGTTGCATCAGCAGCTAACTGGCCAGAAGTTGCAGGGAGGAGCCAGGTGGGGAAGGGTTTATAAGGAGGGCCAAGGAGAAGCAGAGAACTTCTTGGGGGATGCCAGGAGGTGAGCTAGGTGAGCTGCTAGCTCTTCAGCTTCCTTGGGAAGCAGGATTTCACCTCAACCTTTGAATCTTGAGTTCTTTAGAGAGACAGAGATTTAGATAAGTTCCTTTTATAACTTTGAAAGAGTCCGTGCCTGAGGGAACGGATTTCCTTAGCCTGCAGTTGTGCCCCAACCTCTGCTGGTAGCTACAGAGACGAGAGATGCTGGCCTGGTTAGCTGTAGCTTAAGAGGGAGCAAAAATTGAAAAAGCTAACAACAGAACTGACTCCACAAGAATGCCTCTCACCTTCACATGGGTGTCCTGGCCTGTGCACACACAATAATAAGCACATTTTGAAAAAAAGAAAGAAAGAAAGACAGAGAAAAAGAGAGAGGCAGAGAGAGAGAGCGAAAGAGAGAGAGAGTGAGAGAGAAAAGAGAAGAGAAGAGACGAAGTAAAGCTAAAATAAATACCCTTAACTGCAGTGTATGGAAATGTTCACTGTTGCCCTTTGTCTTAATTCTCCAGCTTCCCCAGGACACAGACTCTGCCCATTTAGACAGAAATGTTGCTAGTTGTCAGAGGAGAAAGCTATTGAGTGTGGGTTTGTGGAGTAAAGAATGTGCTGAGTGCACAGGAGGAGGAGGCAGGTGGAGCTGGGGAAGCCCCGGGACATCACAATGTAGGGAGAGCATCCCTGTCCCTCTGCTTCTTCATGAGTCCTCTCCTCACCTGTGAAAACTCTTCCTACAAAAGGTGAAACAGCCCTCTAAGCTACCTTGCAGATACACAGCTAGCGAGTCCGTGTATCACGGGAAAATAAACGGGGGTAACTGCCGCCTACAACATTGTATTTTTGGAGCAGACTCACCTTCCTTTCAACCTTTGGTGTCTGTTTATGTGATGCTATAATATGTAGAGAGTTATCACTATCCCAGGAATCATTATTTTGCAGGTTACCCAGTAATTCAAATACAGGGCTCTATGTTTGTGGCTATTTAAGGAATAATGTACAAAACCTTTCTTTCCTTAAAGCAAAATTATTGAGAGAGAGAGAGAGAGAGAGAGAGAGAGAGAGAATATTTCTTCCTTCCTCCTATTTGATTTTATCCATGTGAATTCTTGCTGGGTACCTGAGCTATCCACTCCCACATCTGCACAACTCATAATCAAACTCTCAATAACATAGAACTGTTCAAAACACGAAGAGAAGCAGATGGTTTATATGGTGACAGAATTGGACATAAGACACCTGCAGGACCCTTTAAAGCAACAAGAAAGCTGGACGTTAGTGTGTGGTATGGGACTTCAGCTAAGTTGGGTGAGGTAGGCAAAGGTTAAATTTAGAAACACAGATTTTGAGCAGATATTCTGCCAGCATTTTCTAGATGTAGCCTATCCACTCTAAAGAGAGATCAGAAAACAGCAGTATCACAGGCCAGTACCAAAGAGGAAGCACTTGCACACACTGCCATCATGTGGTCACTCAAGATGACCATCTTTTCACAATCTACAAATGATTGGCTTTTCCTGTTAAAAATTTTATTAAGGAGTTCGAGACCAGCCTGGTCTACAAGAGCTAGTTCCAGGACAGGCTCCAAAACCACAGAGAAACCCTGTCTCGAAAAACAAAAAAAAAAAAAAAAAAACAAAAACAAAAACAAAATTTATTAAGATCAAGATGGAATTTATAGAAATCCACATTATCACAAAGTATATAACTCATATAAATATGAATTATATAATGAAGTAAATGTTATAACCAATTATAAAAAGCTACTTATACAAACAAATCACCTGTACACAGTGTTGACATTACCTGTGTTTTTCCTGACAGCTGTGTCGGCCACAATATTCTTTAAAGGCTAACTGAGAAAATAGAAAGGGATTAAGGCCTTCAACTCCGATGGAAGAATATATTTTTAATTGGGTTTTCTATTTAAAGTATACCTGAAGCAGCAAGCTCTGAGAAGTCATGTACAAGCCAAAGATGGTGGCATGTTCTATACCCTGGTCAGCCAGTCTACCTGGAACAGCAAGCTCTGAGTTCTGAAAGAGACTCAAGCCTATGGTGAAGAACATATGGTGGAGAACAGTCAACATTGACTTCCGCACATAAACAGAAGACAGGCACCTGTACATACATCCATATTTCTACCAAAATCAGATATCCGACAAGGAGGCCTTCTCTCTCCACTTTTGCTCAGAATACTGATCGAAGTCTTACTTAGAGTAAAAATGTGCAAGATGTCAGGATCATCTTTTTGTACACTGTATGAAGATGTCCCTTCCTTACCTTACCTACCTAAGACACCATTTGATTGGTTTAATAAAGAGTTTAATGACTAATAACTGGTCAGGATGGGATAGTTGGGACTTCTGGGAAGAGACAGGAACTCTGAGAAAGAATTGGAGGTGCAGGAGATTCACCAAACAGACACAGAGGATATACAGTATTGAGGAAAGGTAACAAGCCACATGGCAGAACATAGATTAATATAAACTAGTTAATTTAAGTTTTCAGGGCTAGTTGCCTAAACTAAGGTCAAGCTTTTGAAATTAATAAAATGTCTCTGTGTCATAATTCAGGAGTTTGCAGTCCAAAGAAAGACCCATTATAATGAGAAATAAGGGAAATACAAGTAGGTGAGGACAAAAGTCCAATTGTCACTGTTTGAAGGCCATATGATTCTATACATAAGACACTAAAAATTACTCCTGAAAACTCCTGATGAACACTTTGAGCAAGCAGTAGGATACAAAGTCAGCACAAAACCAGGAAAAGCCTGCCTGTGAAACAACAGCAAATGTACTGAGAAAGATATCAGGAAGAAATGTGCATTCATCCTATCTCTGAAACTGCCTAGGAATAAACCTAATCCCAGAAGGTAAAGACCTCTGCAGTGAAAATTAAACACTAACGAAAGGAGGCACTAGAAGACAGGCAGAGCTTCCATCTTCGTGGATCAGCCAAATCAAAACCGCAAAACTGGTCCTACATGACTGAACGGTAGATATAGACCGACCAAAATTCTGATGACATTGTCCACAGAAAGGGAAAAGATGACACATGATCTACATGGAAGCATATAATAGTCACACCAGATTTCAAATTATGTTGTAGAGTCATCACAACAATACAAGACGACGCCAGCACAAAAGAACTCATGGACACCAAGGGAATCAAATAAAAAAGAAATAAACACACACACAGCTAGGACACCTGATTTTTTTTACTTCTTTTTATTTTATGTGAATTGGTGTTTTGCCTGTATGTATGTTTACATCAGGGTGTCAGATCTTGTAGTTAGATTCCTGGTTTTCATTTTTCAGAAACTTCCATTCTGATTCCCATAATTAATTAACTGTCTTAATTTACTATCAGTATAAAAGTACTTCCCATTTTTGGTGTCTCTTAGCCAGCATTAGTTTGATGTGGGATGTCCTTCTGAATATGTGTTGCTTTTATTGGTTGAAGAAATTCTGGAAGGCAGTGTGACTAGAATACAATTAAGTTTTGGATTCACTCTTTTCACATGTACTTACTGTAATTTCTGCTCAACTATTGTCAATCCATTTTCTGCTTCAGTATAAAACCCCATAAATTCACTGCAATATTAGCCACATATGGCTTCAGCTTTCCTCTATGTCCTTCTGGCCCTATGCATTCAACCCATCTCGTGCTTTGTTTCACTTGAGATAGGGTTCTAATTCCTAGGAATCAACATCTACCACTTTAAGAGGTCAATTTGGATGCCAAGATTCTGGAGTAATGATACTCACGTCTGCACCCATGTCTATCAAACCCACAATAACAATGTCATTTATATGCATCCTTAGCTTTGGTCTTTGATCATTTATAGAAGTCTGCCAGGATATACGTTTCCTATTTCCTATTGGAATTTTTATTTATCCTCCATGTTTATTCCATCATCCAGAACAGTATGGTCTTTTACAGAAGGCTCTGGATTATTTTAATTTTCCTGGTAAGAAATGTCCTCCGCAGTGACAGGGAATAACTGGATTATTTTTGACTTTGTGCCCTGTGAGAGCCCCCACCCAAGAAATTTTTCAATGGTATAAGGTTGCCTTGTTAGTCTTTTGTTGATCTGCATTCATTGGTCCAGTGTTAGCCTTTTCCTCACCTTCTACATAATCCAGAAGGTTGATACCTCTTATTTTTGCCATTCCAAGAGAAGACATTATATCTAGGAATTGTAAGTCTACAATCCCTCCTCAGATGTCCTATTCTACCACAACTAAAACATTTGGCATTTTTTTTTTATTTTTTTTTTTTAAATTTATTTATTTATTAAGGATTTCTGCCTCCTCCCCACAACCGCTTCCCATTTCCCTCCCCCTCCCCCGATCAATTCCCCCTCCCTCATCTGCTCGAAGAGCA